AGCCAATACCCGAGTATCCTCGTGATGATTGGAAACGCGGCCAAGCGGGTTGCCCTGCAAAGACTCGGTGTGGACATCACCAGGCCCAACACGACCCGGGGCCACGGCGAGATCCATCTTAACAAGGCTCCTGTCGGCGCGTCCGGCGCAAGGCCGACGCTGATTGCCGATGCCGACGTTCCGCCTCATAAGCGGCTCGGCAGGCCGAGAAAATCTACGCTTTGCCATGAAGTCGTAGCAAGGCCACTGTCAATCTCTCACGGCGGGAACATCTCCACAATGCCGTCCGCGATGCCGTCTGCGATGTCGCCCACGACCTTAGAAGCTAGCGATCATGTCTATAATCGCATGCTTCTCCCGTTTGCTGATGCTGTGTGTTTCTTTGCCGACGACATCGGCGGCGTAGAGGTCGTCGCCCAGCGTCTTGCGTCATGGCTGAGCCTGAGTACGCCGTCCACATCGTCGGTGCGGCCCTGGTTAGTGGTCGTCGTGAACGGCGACGAAGAGGATTCCGCACGAAATCACCTGCTACAGTCAATCCGCAAGAGGACAAACGCCCACGTGTCCGAACGATTCCACGGCGTCCGCGTCATCAGCCTGGCCGACAAGACACCTAAGTCTCTCCGACGCCGCCTTGATTCCCTGCGTTGGGACATACTCAGCAATGAGCTGTCCTACATGACGGAGACAAAACGGGTCGAGCGCGTGCTCGCCAGCTGCCTCTTCTCGGCCACCCACCTCGCCGGCCTTCTCCGCCACGCCACAGAGCACGTCGGCGGTGCCGGCGCGCCGCCCCTCGACTTCCTCGCCGTCTCCCGGCTCGACAACCCGGTGGCGGCCGATCTGCCGGCGCACCTCGCAGGGTTCCTCACGCATTGCGACTCCGTCGACGACCTGAAGAGGTTCGCCGTACCTGTCATCGCCTCCAGCTTCATACTGGACCAGTACCCTCCGGACATGCACCGTACGTTCGCGAGCATGCGTCACCTTTTGTCCTCACTGACCGCCCGCAGTCTTCGATCCGCGCGACGTCTTCCAGATGTTCTACAAGGACGTGTGCCACAACGTGTGCGGCACCGCCGTCCTCGCGCACGAAGGGTCCACCGACTTCCTCCTGCCGTCTCAGTTCGCCAAGATGGTCGAGGGGCAGATGGCCCGTATGTTCCGGCAGCTGGCGACGGGCCAAGCCTCGGCGTCGCTGCATCGACAGCTTGTCGCCGCCTTCGCGGAGGACTGGGTCCAGCTCAAGTCCAACAGCACATGCTACCTTTGTCTGCGGCGCGCTCCGCAGGTCTTTCCCGCGTGCGGCCACGGTCACTGTCGAAACTGTGTCGAGGTATTTGGCGTCGCAAGCGCGGCCGACCCGTGGCTCATC